GCCCTTGCAACAACTGTTGTTATTTTTAACCAAGGTTGAAAGATAGTAAAAAACACACCGCGCGCACGCACAAACACAAAAATTAACGATCACGTGATATTTTTTTCCTGAATGGAAGCTATTTCTCAATTTAGGGCTATTACCATGCTGTTAAAAAAATTTTTTGTTTACCCCATTAAATTTTCAAAGACGTAAAATTTTAGAATATGTAAACGTTTTTTCTGCTTTTCACGCAAAATAACGTTTTTTAAATATCTGGAAATAAGATAACGGTTGGGCCGGGGTTTATCAATGGCGTGCGTCGATTTTTGCGTTCAATGCATCCCCTGGACCAACTTTTTGAACAAAAATTTTAGGGGGGGAAAAAAATACACCAAAAAACCGAGATGTTTTTGAAGCAACTATTATTTTGTCAGAAAATTTAATTTAAATAATTAAAGGCCTTCAAAAAAAATCAAAAAAAATTCATTTGTCATTTTTAAATTTTTAAGGTTTTTTTTTAAAATGGAGAATCGTCCTTAATTGGGGAGTCGTTATGGGGAATCGTTAAAAATCCCCCTGAATTTCCCCTTTTTTTAATTTCCCATTTTTACAGCACTTTTTTTTTCCCCTTTTTTTAAAAAATAAAAACTTTGTCTTGGTAATTGTGCCATTAAATTACTGAAACGCGAACGTTAATTTTCGTGTTGGCTCTCTTCATTTACTTTTTGAGGGAAAAAATTTACAAATACATGATAGCGTACTTCTTTTAAAGAAAAAATTTTGACAGCCGAAAATTGTTAAAATACGAAATAAAAGAGGTTTAAAAAAGAGGAACAGTGTACAGCTCAATCGGTAAATTAGATCAGCATCAATGAGATAAAGGAAAGGGTTAGCGATAATTGCGTGTCAGATGCAATTTCTAATAGTCAACTCCACGTATAGAAAAAAGATTTTCAAAGAAAACAAAAAAACTTGAAACACTAAATTTATTAGATTTAATCAGTCAGCAACTTGAATATGATGATAATATATGGAGGGCTGAAAAAAGTGATAAACATGATCATTAAAGGGAAAGATCTTCATACTTCGCAGTTGAATGCTGATATTGTTGACAAAAATACAATCTTATGGGATCACTGTGAGTATGATTTTTCATTATTTTTTTTTTTTAAAATAATCATTTACTTAATGCAACAATTCACTTAGCAATCTTTGCAAAACAGATCAATTTCATTATATTTTTTTTTCAGTTGAATCCGGGGTAATATAATGGGACAAATAACTGCATGTATACCTAATAGATAAGGGTAGACAGACGTTTCACTATTGAGACGGTTCACACCAAGACGGTTCACACCAAGACGTTTCACTCCCGAATGGGAGTGAAACGTCTTGAAGCTGATTCACTCCCTTTTTATATAAGACTTACAGAGCTCCAGATAATTTTTTTGGCCAAGGGGTTTTTACCCCTCAAAATGTAGAGTGAGGGGTAAAATGCAAATTCTGAAAAACTTAAGGGGTTAAATCTGTCAAATAGCATTTTGCATTTTTTATAAACAAATTAAACTTATTGTTTTGTTTGTTTGTTTATTTTCTTTTTTTTTTGAAAAACCTTTACAAATTAAATACTGATTTAATGTGAAACAATACAAAACATGCCATGTAAAGTCTGACTTCCAGAGTATAGGCCTACTGGAACTCAAGTTTAGGATACACAGCAAAATTATCAGGGCTTCCATTTTCAAAATTTGGAAGTCAAAGACTTCAAAACCTCTGATATTGGAAGTCACATTATATAGGTAAAGAAAGAAAAGTATTGATTTTCGGAAGTCACAGGCCAAAATGAAGGAGTAAATGACTCCCAAACTTTCACTTGTGGAAGCCCTGAAATTATTTTATTTTCTAGGAGTCTTTATTTCTGTCGGCATGTACCTTATCATGTTTGAACAATATAGTTGAAATTAGAATTAAAGAAACATAAACAAGATAATTAGAATTAAAGAAACATAAACAAGATTTTTTTTATCTTTCCTTAAAAAAAGTATTGGTCTGAGAGAAAATTGTCCGTAACTGTAGACTGGGTACGAAAATATTGAGTACAAAACTGCAGGTGAAAGACATGTTATTTTGCTCCAACAACAAAAGTTAAAGAAATTAAGATATATTTTTGTTTATATTGAAACATAAGCATGTCAATACATGCCTAAACAAACTTAATACTGTGTTAACTCCTACGATGATTATCTGGCACAAATTTCATCAATAATTTCACAGGTTGATCTACGGGAGTTACCTCCCTTCTGTATTTCCTGCTACTTTCGTTTTTAGTTGGGACGTAGTCCCAACTAGTGCACTTACAAACCCGAAATTTCCAATCATACAGGGTAACGCCCACTGCTGTGACGTTTCATCGCCACTCTATATGCTATATTGTATTCTAACATATCAACGTAAGCTGAATTCATAGTGATCACACTCCGACATGACCGAACGCATAACCGCCGCGAGTAGAAAAAAAAGTGCTCTGAATTTCTGAAAACTTCGATTTATTGACGACAGAAGAGGAGACAAGAAATTTATTTTTTGAAAATAATGTGCAATTGAGCTTGAATTACGGTATTAGAAACGTAGCGGATACAATTTGAAAGGTAACATAATTCTATGACTGGGTAGTAAATTAATTGGGGTTACTGATAGTGTTGAGCGGCTTTGAATATTAACTTCTCATCCGCTTATATCCAGCATTTTTTGTATTATACTTCCGAATTTTTGAAAAGAATTATTTTGGATAATTTTGTCAGTTTATAATTGCAAGTGGATATTGAAATAGAATTAGCAGGATGTGATATTTTCGTCTCTGTTGACGATTTAGGTTAAATGAATCCGACAACTTCGGTATCTTTTTTTGACCTTCTTCGAGCTTTATAGCCTGTTTAGCTCATAAGGTAAGTTACTAAAAGAAAATTATTATGAATTATGATGAATAATAATAATTAAGTTTATTTATTGATGCCAAGTTTTGTTTCCGAGGACTAACTTTTCGTATATTTCGAAGTAATTTGAAGATAATATCAGTGACATTTACTGAGTTAACTTGATAATACTGTATAGGAGGAGCTTACAGCCTTGCTTGTTTGCTTAAATGCTCAGAAGAGGAGAAGGTAAAGGTAAAGGTAGAGATATCGAGTATTTCGTACCGAATTTTCGATGATACTTAGAGTTAGATGAAATGACGTTTTTACAATTGATATTAACGTGTTGCACTTTCGGAAACGGCATATATGCTACAATTTTTTGGTTTGTCCGGGGGTTTAGTCTCTACAATGGGGCCATTGTTGAATATTTCAAGATAATTTTATTTATGACCTTTATATTAATTAATATTAAATTTATTTAAAGTCTAGATTTCATTTTTGGGTCGATCTTTTTAAATTTGAATAATTATTCTGGAAAAACAAAGTGCGAAATGATTAACGGTTTGTACACGATTAGTGTTATAAACATTATCAAATGGTTTTATTGGGAAAAATATTTCAGTTCCTCTGACAATAACTCAATGGAACGCATTAATTGAATTACCTTTTTTAAATGTATGGAGTAAATTCATTTGTGGTTGGTTTTTCGCTCCTTTTTTTATGAGCTATGTTTTCCCATTATATAAAGCACAGGTTGTTCTTGAAAGTTGAACAAAAAAATAGCTGCAACTTGATATGTTACATGAAAAATCTTCAGGGACTTAGGTTTTAAACCGATTTGGATTAGCGGACCAATGTGGGAAAATGTCAACAAGAGAGATAGATATGAGATAGATCTATACTGTTCTCAATACATGGTTGAAGTAATTTATAGTGTTTAATTAGACATTTTATATTTTAACTTTTTGACGACTCTTGTTTAATTTTTTTTTTACCCAAAATCTACATGTAAAAAATAAAATATAATAAATGTGAAATTTTCTATTTTAGTGGTATATGTGGAGTAATATGAAGAAATTTTTAATATTTATTATCCTAATTTTTCAAATTTTAATTATGTCTTACATGTCTGTACACAATCATATTATTGTGTAAATATATATAATGTATAGAGCACATATATAATTGTTATAAATAGAGGGTAGTATTCAGATGAATTTGAAATGAATTTAAAATTGATATTTTAGGAAATAAAGTCATTTCTTTAATTTCATTGGGAAAGGCAGGTACTGTAGCTGAAAAAAGTCGTATAAGATTAAACAAGACTAAGAAGATTATTATAACAGGTCTTTTTACATTTAATGTATATTTCACAACATAAGATGTTTTCCCCAAAAAAATTAATGAAAAAATATTTGACTGGTATAAGATTGAGAAAGTGGGTGTGGGGATCCGTGGTTATGGCATTTCTAGTTTTTACTTATATATATGTTAAAGAAATTATGTGCAGCACATCTTTAAAGGATGGCAGATTTTTTTAAACTTAAGGGATGAAGCACCTTCAGGTGTAATTGGTAGTAAAGGAAGAATTTTTGGGCTGCGACACAAATTTACAGAATTATGGCCTTTTGTTGATTTTTTTTTCACGATATATTACTATGTAGATTTTGTGAATGCACTCCTCTTAAACGGGTGGCGATTTTTGCTTTAAACTTCAGGGATGAACACTTAATGTGTGATGTAGTTTAGAAGAATTTTTGCTGCCAACCAATTTAACCAGAATTTGGTTTTTTGATTTTTTCATTAATATATATGTAGCATTTTGTGAAACCGGAATCTCTTAACAGATGGCCGATTTTGCTTAAATTCAGGGATGAACAACTTAATGTGTAGATGGTGTAAAGGAGGAATTTTTGTGGCGACAAAATTTTAGAGAATTGGCGCTTTTTTGATTTTTAGTTTTTCAACTTGTGGACATGTAGACAATAAAATCATTTGACCTAGAGTCATAAGATTGACAGACGTGGTTGTGGGGGCTATCCCGTGTCTAATTGGACATTCTAGTTTCTTTTATGTTGGCTTTATTGTAGATATATTTATGAGACTGTTTTTTTTAAAGTTTGAAGGATATTTTTGAAATTCAGATTGGTTATTAAACTAAATTTATTTTATTTATTTGTAGCAATGTATTATACTTTAATTGTATGCCGTCGAAAAATTATTGTATACTGTCTGAATTTATACAACAGTCTCTCAAACGCTTACTCACAATGAAGGGTAAATAATCTGAATAAAGAGTTGCGTAGGGTGACATTATTATTAATAAAATTATTGTTCATTGCGATCATTGTTTTTTTCAGAGTTTAATATTGCAAAGTGCAATTTTGTGTTCACTGTGTTACTATGTTTTAATATTCAAATATTTACTCTTATGCGGTTTTAATTTAAACTAACAATTGCAAATACGAGTAAACGAATACAATAAAGGAATTGTCAGAAGGTGTGTTTTTGCTGGCATGTGATGTAAAAAACTGATGTAAAGTGCTATCCAACAGAGTCATGGAAAAAGTTTTAAATTTTCAAAGTGGTTTTTCCGTTTTTGTTCTTATCACTTCAGGTGTTAAAGCATGTAAAAGTAGTGCGTTCCATCATGCTTAGTTTCACACAGGTCAGTAAGACGGTGTACTGTACTGTCTGCACATATGTGTCAGAAAAATATCACAAAAAAGGAATTTAGTATTACTATGAGTATTTATTAAAGAATTGTATTTCAAATATATTTAAATAGTATTATTGAAAGTCATTTTGTATGACAGACATACAAATCTAGTGCTCTGCATTATAAATGTAAGAAGAGACAATAAGATAAGCATTTTTTTGCAAATTATTGCACTTCATATAATTTTTATTGTTTTTTTTTTTAAGGTGGACATGTGTTCACTGTCAAGCGAATGAAGATAAGCATCACACTCAGTGGGAATCTCCAGTTTCCAGATGTAGTGATCATAACTGTATAGGCACCATTAACACTTTGGACTAGTTGGAGTATTTTAGAGGGTAGTCTGAATTTGAATCCCCTGTCAATAGTAAAGGCCAGTCATGAACATTGTGTTAAAGGAAAATGTTAAAACTCGGATTTCCCGCTTAACCAATCATTACTTTACCTTATATTCAGTGCCGGGTAATGTAGGAAATGGCTACTTTCTGGAACGGAGCTGTCAAT